TAATAATATAGGAAAAATAGAGATATGTATTTCATTTATTAGATTGTTATCTAATAATACCATGAAAAATAAAATAAAGTAAAATAAAATTAATTCAGATAATGGTGTACCTTTGGGGTATCACATTCTCCCCTCCTTATAAGAATTTGGTCCCCAAATTCTTCCTAGGGTACTGATCCTTCATCTCTTTCTCCGGTTCCCCGGTGGCGTCTTCGTCTCGATTGTGGTTTTGCCAAACCACCTTAACCAGTGGAATTTGTCTCTTCCTTAACACACGAACTTGACGATCAATAATGCGCAGTGGTTTTTCTATGAACGCCAAGTTATCCATGATGGGTGGAATGTCTCTTATAATAACGTGTTCTGGATCGGGACTATACTTCTTCAATCTTGAGACGTGAAATACGTCATGCATGCCAGCAAGGGTACTCGGTAAGTCTAGGCGGTAGGCTAGCTGGCCGATCTTCTTAAGGATCTTGAATGGGCCAACATACCTTGGGCTAAGTTTCCCACCTTTCTTGGATTTTATTATCCCCCTCTTTGGTGATAATCTAAGAAGCACCTCATCCCCACAATCGAACTCTAGATCCTTTCTTTTTTTTGTCGGTGTAGCTTTTCTGACGACTTTGCGCAGTGTGTATCCTTTCCCTAATTAGGCGAACTTTGTCCACTGCTTCTTGAATTAAGTCAATTTTTGGTACATATGATTGACCTTTCTTTGTCTTAGGTACCCACCGATCATCAATTTCCTAATGAATTGGTGATCTACATTTCCTACCGTAGAGAGCCTCATATGGTGCCATGCCAATTGTGGCTTGGTTGCTATTGTTATAAGCGAACTCAACCAATGGCAAATGATTGTTCCAATTCCCTTGGAAGTCTAACGTGCAGGCTCGAAGCATGTCTTCCAAAGTTTGGATTATCCTCTCTAATTGTCCGTCGGTTTGTGGATGAGCTGCTGTAATAAAGCTCAAAGACGTAACCAATTCTAGGTGTAGACTTTTCCAAAATCTCGAGACAAATCTCGGATCACTATCAGAGACTATATCTATGGGTACTCCATGAAGTCTGATTATCTCTCGAATGTAAGTTCAGGCCAAATTTTGCAAGCTGTCCGTCTTCTTTACTGGTAAGAAATGGGCTGACTTAGTCAGTCTATCCACTATGACCCATACGGTGTTGTATCCTTCTCGGGTATTTGGTAGGTCCGTCACAAAGTCCATTGTTATCAACTCCCATTTCCATTTAGGTACCTCTAGGGGTTGTAGTAACCCTGATGGGCGTTGATGTTCAGCTTTTACCTTTTGACAAGTCAAACACTTGGCTACATACTCTGCAATCTGGTTTTTCATATTCACCCACCAAAAGTATCTCTTCAAGTCTTTATACATTTTATTTCCTCCTGGGTGAATAGTGTACTTTGAACGGTGCGCCTCTGGAAAGATTCTACTCTTCAACTTCTCATCATTTGGTACACATGTTCGATTTTTGAACTTCAGCAATCCATCTTCAGATATGCTGAACTCTGGTCGCTCTCCAGATTTTACTTTCTCCTTCAAGCCTTGAAATCTTAAATCCTTCTCTTGTGCTTCTCCGATCTCGCTAAGCAAGTTGGACTTAATCGAGAGGTTGGCACACAATAAGTAGGTGTCATGGCGAGGTGGATTTCACTGGATTACTTCTTCCAAAGCTTCCCATTCTCTGCCCATGAGTCTGGCCATACTTGCCTTTCTGCTTCACGCATCGGCAACTACATTGGCTTTTCCCGGGTGATGTTGTAGGGAAAAATGATAGTCCTGCAAGAGTTCAATCCATCTTCTTTGTCTTAAGTTCAACTCCTTCTGAGAGAACAAGTATTTAAGACTCTAGTGGTCAGTGAAGACAGTGAATGTAGCTCCATACAAATAGTGTCGCCACTTCTTCAATGCGAACACTATGGCTGTAAGTTCTAGATCGTGAGTCGGGTAATTTGCCTCATGTAATTTTAGTTTTCTTGAGGCATAAGCAATTGCCTTCCCATTTTGCATCAACACCGCTCCCAGACCTTCTTTAGATGCATCACTGTAAATCACAAAGCCTTCCCCTCCTTCTGGAAGAGCTAGTATGGGTGTTGTCGTAAGCCTTCTTTTAAGTTCCTGAAAGCTTGATTCACATTTATCGCTCCATTCAAACTTAACTTGTTTTTGTGTTAGTCTTGAGAGTGCTCCAGCTATTTTTGAGAAGTCTTTAATGAATTTGCGGTAATACCCCGCAAGCCCAAGAAAACTTCTAATCTCCGTGACAGTTTCTGGTCTCTTCCAATCCAATATAGTCTGTACTTTTGCTGGATCGACTGTGATGCCTTCTCCAGAAACAATGTGTCCCAAGAATGCCACTTCTCTTAGCAGGAATTCACACTTGCTGAACTTCGCATATAGCTTATGTTGTCGCAAGGTCTCTAGAACGAGTCTCAAATGAATTTCGTGCTCCTTATCAGATTTGGAATAAACAAGGATGTCGTCAATAAAGATTACGACAAACTTATCAAGGAAGGGTTGAAAAACACGATGCATCAAATCCATAAATGTTGCTGGTGCATTGGTTAAACCAAAAGGCATCACTACAAACTCATAGTGACCATACCGGGTTTGGAAAGCGGTTTTAGGTATATCTTCACCTCTTATCCTCAGTTGGCAGTATCCTTGTTGAAGATCGAACTTTGAATACACCGTTGCTCCCTGTAGCTGATCGAACAGATCATCTATTCGTGGAAGCGGATACTTATTTTTCACGGTAATGCTATTAAGTTCTCGGTAGTCGATGCACAATCTCAAAGTTCCATCCTTCTTTTTCACGAACAACACTGGCGTTCCCCATGGTGACACACTAGGACGAATGAAACCGACTTCTAATAGCTTCTGCAGCTGATCCTTTAGTTCTTGCAATTCCAATGGGGCCATGTGGTAGGGTGTCTTCGCCACAAGTGCTTTTCCAGGTAATATCTCAATATGAAATTCAATCTCTCTATCTGGTGGTAAAGAGACAAGTTCATCGGGGAACACGTCCGCGTATTCAGATACAATGGCTACTGCTTTGATCCCTGACTTACTTTTGGGTTTGTTGATAATGAAAGCTAAGTACCCTTCTGCTCCTTTAAAAATTGCTTTCCTAGCCTTCATCGCAGATATCGAAGGAACTAATTTAACCCTAGCCTTGCCTAAAAGTTCTACCACAGGCTTACCAGGCACACAGAATCTAACTATCTTAGAATGACAGTCTAGTTGAGCATAGTGTTTAGATAGCCAGTCCATACCTAATATCACGTCATACTCAAGTATAGGCAAGGAAATCAAATTTGCAGGAAAGCAACTATTTCCAATTATCACATCACATGCATTATAGATCACGTCAGTTAACTGGCTTGCACCCATAGGTGTTGCTACCTCATAGCAGATCGACAAATAATCCATAGGAACATTCAGTTTTTGTGCAAATCGAGGAGCAACAAATGAATGAGATGATCCTGGGTCTATCAATGCGCGTGCAAAGTGGTTAGATACGAGAAATGTACCTTCCACCACGTCAGCTGTTTCTGGAGCTTCTTGCCCTGCCAGAGTGAACACACATGCTGGTACCCTAGCTCGGTTGTTTTCAGGCTTCACAGGTGCAGCTCGGTTATTAGTCGTAGCTCCGCTCTTTGGGCAATCCTTAATTTGATGTTGTGAGCTACCATATCTTAGGCACTTACCCAGCTTTCGCCAGCACTCATTGAGAGTATGCCCAACCTTGGAGCAGTGAGAACAAGGTGGGTTGCATTCTTGACGGAGGGTTTCTTTATAGTGGGGGCATTTCTTGATCCACTAGGCTTCTGAAATTTGTGAGGGGGGGTTAGAAGGCGGCCCTGGTGCTTGCCTCTTAAAATTTCCACCAGTGCTATATTGAGCTTGTCCTAAACGTGCCATCACACTTTCAATTCGGGTGGCGGCCTCGACTGCTTCAGCATATGTGTTCATCCTTACTGTAAGAAGACTCTGCAAGGAATGCCTCAAGCCTCTAGTGAACTTATACAACTTATCCTCTTCGGTGCTAACCAGCCCTGGAGCATATTTGGATAGCCGATTAAACTGGGACTCGTATTGTGCTACAGTTAGTGCTCCTTGCTTCAGATGGTAAAACTCATCCCTTCTAGCTTCTCTCACAGCTTGTGAGATGTATTGGGTTTTGAATTCACTCACGAAGTTCGCCCAAGTCCTGTCCTTATTCTCTCGTCTCCATTTCTCAAACACATTCTTCCACCAATCGTGTGCAGCAGATTCCAGACGAAATGTAGCTAGGGACAAGCGTTGAGCCTCAGTGTACTGCAACATTGCAAACATACTTTCAATCCGCTCGAGCCAGTATTCTGCCTTTGCATCATCAGGTTCACCTAGAAAGGTTGGTGGGCTGAAACGCAAGAATCTCTCTAACGCCTGATCATGGGTTTCAGGTGCGTTGGGGTTTGGTGCCACATGTTGTTGAAGAAAATTCATGAGTTGAGTGATGGCTTGAGCTATCAAATTGTCTCCTGTAGGAGGTTGAGGCGGTGGTTGTGGGTTAGCGTTCCCATGCTGCGGGGCCGCATTTTCATTGTGATTAAGGCGATGTCGTCCACGTCGACGATCAGCCATCTATAACAGGTTCATTTATTTAACAATAAGTTAATATTAAGCTCTAATGTTCAATGAGGAACTACTACAAGTAGATGCATTTGTATCGGTTTAAATGTGATTTATGATAACTAGTAGCATTAGCATATAATCAAAACATGGACATAACATTAACATCAACATGGACAGGGAAAACATTTGAAAATTTACCCCGTCAAAGGATCTATTAATAATAATACCACCAAAAAGAAAAGATCATAATAATGTCATCCAAAAGAAATAAAAAAAAATCACAATCATACCATCCAAAAAATCAACCAACAACAAAATAAAACATCGTCCATGGAGAAAATAATAATCCTAGTAATAAATTGGTCAATCGTCATCCATCATATCCTCCTCTGGGTACTCCTCGGGGTCCTCCTCTGGGTCCTCCTCCGAACTGTCGATTGTGACCACATGGCGTGGGTGTGCAGGCTGAGGTCCCATCGAAGTAGAAGACTGTTGGGCGATGAGTCTCTCTGCGGCAATTTGACATTCAAGAATGTCAATCCGCTGTGCTCCTAAAGAGACCCTTCGGCAAAGCCTTTGATTCTTAGCTTCCATCCTAGCCATTGCATCATCCTTCACTTTGAGTTCGAGTTCCAAGTTCTTCACTTTACTATCCAGTTCCACTATCTGAACTTCCTTATCCACTACCTCCTGCTCCATCTCTTTACAGCGGTCTTGTTCCATCTGATGCTGCTGGTAGTAATGATCAGCATGGTGTTCTACCTGATTTAGTTGGGCCTCCAGTTGTTCAATTATCACCTTGCTACACTCAAGCTCATTAAACAATTCCTGACAGTAAGAGGAGTGCATCCCCACGATTTGTTGAGCCTCCATAAGCTGCTGCTCCAAATCGTGAATGTGTTCTCCTGCGTAACTAACATCTGGTGTTTGTTTTCCGAATCGTTCATCCATAGCTGTAGTGCCTCCTCTAAGACCTCTACTCGGCTCCTCTCATATCTCAAATAGAACAGAAGAGTAGAGATGGGGTCCATACCTATAATAATACTCTCGTCAAACGCATCAAACAAAGGGTAGAAGATGACAAGATACTCATATAAAGCTAATACACGTATAAGCACATATAATATTAATAAGGTCAACATATAAATTAAAGTGCTTAACAAACCATGAAAAGTGACAAAATACGAAATAACAATAATAATAATAATAATAATAATAATAATAGACGATTAAAATGGTAACCCAATAAGGTCAAGGATCCTATCCTAGGTTAGCTCGATGTAAGTGTCCTTACGACCGAGCTCTGATACCACTCTGTCACGCCCCCCACACCGGGTTGGACGGGGACGCAACGTCAAGCAGTAATATGATGAACAATGAATAATACAAAAATAATAACAAGGATATAAAACAACAATTCAAACTTAGTCCGGTGAGAATAAGTTTGATAATCGGAATATAAGTCATACAACATGGTCTGAATAAATATAAATTACAAACTGGCAGCGGAATAGTCTCGGAATAAAACAAGTACCAAAATGACAATCAATAACATTAAGTCCTAAATTACATCCCGAAAATAACTTTTATTTAAGACTATGTTGACAATAAGGAGGCCATGCTTCAGTTGGCAAATTCTTCTTCAGAGTTAGCCTCTTCCACCATGGTTGGCTCCTCGTCTGGGGGGANGGTTTCAAAATACAAAATAGGTGGAATGAGACAAAAATTCTCAGTGAGTGGGTGAGTGTGTGCAATGTGTGGCTTAATTTTTCAAGAATTATGATGCATGTTTTGAAACAATATCAATGAAATAAAGTAGTGATTTCAAAGTAACTTAACTAATGTAGCAGAGATCAGTATGTTGGCAAAACAGTTTAGCTTTGGAACGAGTCGATTTGACATGATCCTAGGCTCATCCTTATGACTCCCAGCAATATAGGCCTTTGGGATCAGTTTGAGCCCAAGCTCAAGGATTGAGCCGAAGCTCTAGTATGGACTATGCAGTCCCAAGCCAACCTTATATCTTATCCGGGCTCGACAAACTCCTTAGTTATGGGCTTCCGCCCAGAGAATGTCATAATCGCGATTATACCCTAATTCTACGACCCAGTCACTTTGGAACACCCCGTCCTCAGTTATGGGAATAGGCAACAACGGTAGCCTTACCGAGAACCGCAGCCATGCTGCTCGATTCTAGGTTTGGTCTAACCGCCCCAAACAGTCAAGTCAATACACGGCAAGAGTTAAGTGTACAAGGCCACATCAAATTTAATCAATAGCACAAGTAAGGTAATCTCAACATTCGGAGGATAGTGTGAACAATATTTTCTAGAAGTATAACTTTTATGGCCCGAATGTTAGTGTTAGATGGAGGTGTGGATGGACACACTTGATTTTCGAGTTCCACATTTACTTTATTGAAGATTAGTGATTTTCTAAACTTTTGATTATTATTATTATTATTATAATAAATCAACATTTCACCTCCTCTTATAATAATTAAGAATTTGGTCTCTTAAACTATATATATATATATATATAATATTTGGTATAACGGATATTAAAATTAAATATATGTGTACTTATCAAATTCACTTACATGCACAATATAACAAATATTGGTTTAATATTAAATTCATTGATTATTATATTCTATGTTTTTATCACAATAATTAAATAAGTGTCATCAATATCTATTAATTTTAATTATGAGGTATAAATAGTTGTTGCATGTAAAGAAAATTCTAATCTCTAGAGTTGTACAAATATACGCAGCAGGGAAAATAATTCAATCGGTATTATGACAGATTAACATACACAATACGTATACAAAACAGATAAAATCACAATACGTATCCAAAGCAGATAAAAAGTTTTATACAGTAAAACAAATAAAATATTAATACCAGATAAAAAGCTCGTACATACAACAGATAAAAAGTTTTATACAATGAAACAAATAAAATATTAATAACAAATAAACGTTACGTATAGGAACAGATGAAATAGATAAAGTATTAGTACACAGATGGAACAGATAAAATATTAATACACATCACATATATACACGTTTACGGATCGCAACTATATATACAAAAATGATAAACAAAAAATCTATCAATGAAACAGTACAGATTTATATATCGCAGCTATATATACAAAAATGATAAATAAATGATCTATCAATGAAGCAGTACAGACATATATACGCATCACGGGTAAAATATTTATGTAACAATCCCAATAGTATTTTCAACAAGAAACAATATATAATATATATACATGCATCCGTATTTTTGGAGATAACACATTTTTAAGATTTTAATCACCCACCTCTTTTCTACTTGGTATTAAGGGATTAGGATGATGTCTGACTTCTACTACGAACAGCTGCTCCCAAGATGTGGTTGATCAATGTGGAGTGAAAATTGAGTTGAGGTAGAAATGATGTCTGACTTCTACTACGAACAGCTGCTCCCAAGATGTGGTTGATCAATGTGGAGTGAAAATTGAGTTGAGGTAGAAAATTATTTTGTGGTTTTGCGTGGTTTGAATTAAAAAGATGACATTTGAGTTTTGTGTGAAGGAGGTATAAAATGGTTAAGATAAATTGTGTCCTCTCGCTGTGTAGAAAGGGTTAAGTAGAATAGATTGTGTGTAGATTGTGTAGAAAGATTATCTGCAACATCAAGATTACACGCCAAAAATTACACTGATAACGTGAGTGAATGTTTGAGAAGAGTCAGAGACGCATCCGTGAATGGAAAAATGTGATGTAAATGTGATGTTTTGAAATCGTGAATTCGATATGTAAATGTGATGTTTTGAAATCGTGAATTCGATTGGGGATTGAGTCGGCGTATTTGATCTCCCTCTTTTCTATTTTATCTCTCTCTTATCTATATATGAAGGAGTTAGACTAATTGTGGTAGTGACAAGTGTCCAATTTAGACACTCTCAATGGCTGACAAGTGTCCACAATTTATTACAGTTTTACCATTGGATTCACTTTTTTTTTTCTTTCCAATGTTTGTTTTTTGCAAATTATGAAATTACATAAAACAAGTACAATTTTTTCTGTAGACCGACATACTTTTCTCTCTTATCCGGATTTTCTATTCAACAATATCAGTAACTTCCCATCCGAAATTTTTTGGTCACTTCCGCACGCTACTTCACCATACAACATTCACACACCGAAAAGTACAGAGGAAGATGAGAAGGCGACCATAAAATTATCCAACTACACAATCTCTCCCACACGCAAATAAGTCACAATTCAGAAATTTCTCTCCTTTTCTTACACAGAGCACCCACAATTACACAGGCTCACGGGGCCGACAATCGCGTGGTGGATACAACCAGATCGACGGGGTGGCTACACGGGTCGGCTGGAGAAAATAGGTTAAAGGCGATTGAGATGGTTAAAGCGACGATCGAGGACGGTGTGTGGGCAGGACCAGCCTCATCTTGCCTTATCAGGAAGCGAGGATCCCCAATTTGTGGGATGCAATCAGTGGTGTCAGTGTCACTTACAACAGCAGCGGTGTCGTCATTGGCGCGGAATCACACACCAGCACCGGCGAGGTTTGCTTTTTCAGTTATTTTCTTAATTATGTGCTGGGTTTCTTGTGATTGCGAGCTTTGAAGCAGACTCAATAAGAGCCTTCTCGTTGGTTATAAATTGCCAAAGGCTGTAGAGAGTAGGACGAGCGGTTTTATTATTTACCGCGTGAGACTTGAGTTTTGCCGTTTCTTTTTTTTTTTTGTTATTATACTACGAACGCAATCATATTTGGAAGGGATCTGATTTTCTTGTCCCAAGTAGGATGATTTGGTGAATTCCATGAAGGAGGCAGCATCGAAGGAGCTTTTGAATGTCAGCCGTGACAATAATAACTACTAGAGCCTATTGAAGGATCTCATGATTCATGTTTTGAAAATTAAGTCCCGATAGATTATAGTGTCTGCAATTTACACGTAAAATTTCAAAACATATGCAAATAGTTTTCCAAAGAAAATTTAATTTAGCGAAAAATATTTTGATTAGGCGTGATGCTCTTTTGACCATTTCCTTTCGAGTTCGGCTGTTAATTTTGTGCTATTGCAGCATATACAAAAGCAATTCTTGTTTGCTATGTAATATTTAACTTTTGATATGTTTCTCTAAATCTGTGGACTTGTGGCGTTAATGGAAGCCAAATAGACAAAATGTCATTGATCTGGAGTTCTATTCAATTGAATAATCTTAGTTTTTTTATACATAGTTATTCATTTTTTCTAGATGTTAAAAACAGTTATATATATTGTGCTTGAAAGTAAATGTATTGAGAACAATGAATGTGACAATCTTGTGAGGCCAGATAATGGTTTTGTGAATTGGAATGACCTGCTGGTTCGACTTGAAAGGGTCACCTTATCGGTTTGGTTTACATCGATCAACCTCATGTCACAAGAAGTGCTCAGGAAGTGGTCCAAATCGGTGTGATCAACCTGTTGAGCCAGTGCATAAAGGATTTTAACACACCTAGCTTTCATCCATCAATGATCTCCATCCGTGTTGCTGATTCTTTTGAGAGGAAGACATGGAAGGAAATTTATTGACAAAGCTTCTGATCAACCTTACTAAACCTCAATGTAAAATATCATTATTTTTATATTCATTACTAATTGGTCTGTATTTTTGATGATTTTCTCCTTGTGAGAACTAGGCATTCAGTTCTAGGTTCTAATTTATCTTAATTTGTACTTGTTGATCATTGGTATGTTTTCATACTAGCTTCTCTTGCATTGCTGGATAATCAGAGTTTTAGAGTTAAAATTATTTTTAGTAATTGACGTGAAGAAGCTCAGGAAGACGAAGCCCCAGCTTTCATCTACGCCTAAGCATGTTTATAATGTGAGGGCCAAGCTCAGTCAGGGGAATATTACGGGTATGAGTTTCTTATATTTCTTTTGTAAAACTCGGTTATGTAATTGAAATTAGGGTTCAGTTAGCGACGGTGGAAAGGGACAAGAATTTGTCGGAAGCTGTCGCTAATGGGATGAGGGAAAAGGGGGACTCCACACATGATCAGTGCAAGGGCAAATGGAAAGATCTTGTGAATAGATACAAGGTATATTGTATATTTTTTGCATATGTGTTGCTGAAAAATTTATGCTTGAATGTGATGATTTTATTTATGTTGCTGGTTTTGTGGTTATTTGCTTGGTGATTCAGTTTGAGTTTATCTTAGTTTTGAAAAGGAAAATGTAGGGTTTTGTTTCAATGTGTTCTATAAGTTGAGCTCTTGATCATGGGTATTTTGTTGGTAACACTTTCTGAGCGATAATTAGCAATTTGAAAGATGGTAGAGTTTATCGTAGATAAGCCTATGTTCATGGGTTGTGTGTGTGTGTTCTTTTTTTTTTTGGGTGGTTCTCACATATGTTAATTGTGGATTAGTAAAATTAGATTTTCAGAGATTTTCAAATAAAAAACACACACTTACTCGATTAGATGAATCTGAAATTTACTTGGCAGAATTTGGTAAGCCGAACTTTGTTTTCAAGGTTTAATTTTCTACCTGATAGGCTCTGAAGTCACGGTTGGCGGTGGAGGAGAAGATGGTGAAGCTGAGGATGACAGGGGTGGTAGAGCATGAGAACATGGACGTGCTGAGAGTGAAGGCAAAGAGAGGGACGGAGATTGTGATGGCGGACATGAAGAATCCGGCGGCCAAGCTGACGCCCAACAAAGTTGAAAATCCAAGACCATGAAATGTATTATCCAAGATGAATTGTACTCCAGGATTGTGGATTTAAAAAACATATTATTCTTTGTGAGAAATATAGTGAAAATTTTGACGATTTTTTTGGGGAGAGAATCAAATGGAGTTGTTGAGAAAGGATGATACTTATCATATGTTTTACAGCTCGTGCATATTGTTGATGTTTTGTACTCTTGTTTTTTTTTTTTTCTTTTTTTATTTTGGGTCTTATTACTTATATCTTTTCGTTTATATAAAAGAAAAATTGATTGGTATTATAGAACTTTATTACAATCTAAATATACGAGTTATGCACTCTTCATAATATTTTTAATAACTCTTCATAATATTTTTAACATGAACTAATTTAGTACGTTTATTGTTTGATATATATTTGGTTGCTTTATTAGTTGATGATTATATTGTGGGTTGTCATTTAATAAATTACTTGTTTTAAACAACAAATTTGTTTTTTCTGTTGTTGGTAGGTTCGCGATCCTATTGGATATTCGGGTCATTGTGGAAAGTACTAAGGATGGAAAGTACTATTAGATTTTGTAAAGTACTACTCTTAATAGAAAAGAAAAGAAAAAAAAAACGGATTATGAAAATGCATTCTGAAACAAGACATCGAGAAAACACACATTGAAAATACTAGGAATAAAAGAAAAGGATCAGAAAATTGCATTTTGAAACAAGACATCGAGAAAATACACATTAAAGGGAAAATTTATTTGCTAAATTTTATAGTGTGGTGTTCAAAGGGATGGCAAAATTTATGTTGTAGTTGAATAGTTGATGAGTCTTGAAGGTGATGTCAGCAAGGAAGGATCTTGAGAAACCATGATTTGTCCATGTAAGTTGAATTCCAACAATTCATGTTTTTTCTTTTCATAAATTGGTACATAAATTGTGTCGAATAGACATTTTTTAGAGATAGAAAGAGAGAGCTGTGATTTTGGCAGCATTCTTACTTTATGCTATTTCATTCGTTCAAGCTGTATGTGTAATATAATATACTATGTTTGTTGCTCTTGGTTTTGGACATTGAACATGACAAAATTTTGTTCATGTCCATTACAAAGAGAATAATGGAGTGCAAAAAATTTATCTA